GTCATGCAGTAGTGATGTAACTGTCATGCAATAGTGACGTAACTGTCATGCAATAGTTACGTAACTGGTCATTGCAGTAGTGACTGTAACTGGTCATGCAGTAGTGAAAAGTAACTAGTACATGCAATAGTGACTGTACCATGGTCATGCAGTAGTGACCGTAACTGTCATGCAGAGGACGTAACTTGTCATGCAGTAGTGATGTAACTGTCATGCAGTAGTGATGTAACTGGTCATGCAGTGTGATGTAACTGTCATTCAGTAGTACAATGGTAAGCAATAGTGATGTAACTGGTCTGCAGTAGTAAATGAAATGTCACTTGGTCATTGCTAAGTCAACTGGTCAATGCAGTAGTGATGTAACTGGGCCCAAACAGTAAGTGACGTAATGCTCATGCAGTAGTGATTTCACTTTGGGCATGCAGTAAATGACGTAATGGTTCTGCAGTAGTGACGTTAACTAGTCATGCGGTTTGTGATTAACTGGTCATGCAGTATGGACGTAAACGGTCATGCAGTAGTGATTAGTAACTGGTCATGCAGTAGTGAGTAACTGGTCATGCAGTAGTGACGTAAAATGGTCATGCAGTAGTGATGTAACTGGTCATGCAGTAGTGACGTAACTGGTCATGCAGTAGTGATGTAACTGGTCATGCAGTAGTGATGTAACTGGTCATGCAGTAGTGATGTAACTGGTCATGCAGTAGTGATGTAACTGGTCATGCAGTACTGATGTAACTGGTCATGCAGTAGTGACGTAACTGGTCATTCAGTAGTGATGTAACTGGTCATGCAGTAGTGATGTAACAGGTCATGCAGTAGTGATGTAACTGTCATGCAGTAGTGACGTAACTGGTCATTCAGTAGTGATGTAAATGGTCATGCAGTAGTGATGTAACTGGTCATGCAGTAGTGACGTAACTGGTCATTCAGTAGTGATGTAACTGGTCATGCAGTAGTGATGTAACTGGTCATGCAGTAGTGATGTAACTGGTCATGCAGTAGTGATGTAACTGGTCATTCAGTAGTGACGTAACTGGTCATTCAGTAGTGATGTAACTGGTCATGCAGTAGTGATGTAACTGGTCATGCAGTAGTGACGCAACTGGTCATGCAGTAGTGATGTAACTGGTCATGCAGTAGTGATGTAACTGGTCATGCAGTAGTGATGTAACTGGACATGCAGTAGTGTTGTAACTGGTCATGCAGTAGTGACGTAACTGGTCATGCAGTAGTGATGTAACTGGTCATGCAGTAGTAATGTAACTGGTCATGCAGTAGTGACGTAACTGGTCATGCAGTAGTGACGCAACTGGTCATGCAGCAGTGATGTAACTGGTCATCTAGTAGTGACGCAACTGGTCATGCAGTAGTGATGTAACTGGTCATGCAGTAGTGACGCAACTGGTCATGCAGTAGTGATGTAACTGGTCATGCAGTAGTGACGCAACTGGTCATGCAGAGTGATGTAACTGGTCATGCAGTAGTGACGCAACTGGTCATGCAGTAGTGATGTAACTGGTCATGCAGTAGTGACGCAACTGGTCATGCAGTAGTGATGTAACTGGTCATGCAGTAGTGACGCAACTGGTCATGCAGTAGTGACGTAACTGGTCATGCAGTAGTGATGTAACTGGTCATGCAGTAGTGATGTAACTGGTCATGCAGTAGTGATGTAACTGGTCATGCAGTAGTGACGTAACTGGTCATGCAGTAGTGATGTAACTGGTCATGCAGTAGTGACGTAACTGGTCATGCAGTAGTGACGTAACTGGTCATGCAGTAGTGATGTAACTGGTCATACAGTAGTGATGTAACTGGTCATGCAGTAGTGATGTAACTGGTCATGCAGTAGTGACGTAACTGGTCATGCAGTAGTGATGTAACTGGTCATGCAGTAGTGATGTAACTGGTCATGCAGTAGTGACGTAACTGGTCATGCGTAGTGACGTAACTGGTCATGCAGTAGTGACGTAACTGGTCATGCAGTAGTGATGTAACTGGTCATGCAGTAGTGATGTAACTGGTCATGCAGTAGTGATGTAACTGGTCATGCAGTAGTGATGTAACTGGTCATGCAGTAGTGACGTAACTGGTCATGCAGTAGTGACGTAACTGGTCATGCAGTAGTGATGTAACTGGTCATGCAGTAGTGACGTAACTGGTCATGCAGTAGTGACGTAACTGGTCATGCAGTAGTGATGTAACTGGTCATGCAGTAGTGATGTAACTGGTCATGCAGTAGCGATGTAACTGGTCATGCAGTAGTGATGTAACTGGTCATGCAGTAGTGATGTAACTGGTCATGCAGTAGTGATGTAACTGGTCATGCAGTGTGATGTAACTGGTCTGCAGTAGTGACTGTAACTGGTCATGCAGTAGTGACGCAACAGGTCATGCAGTAGTGATGTAACTGGTCATGCAGTAGTGATGTAACTGGTCATGCAGTAGTGACGTAACTGGTCATGCAGTAGTGATGTAAGTGGTCATGCAGTAGTGATGTAACTGGTCATGCAGTAGTGATGTAACTGGTCATGCAGTAGTGATGTAGTGTCATGCAGTAGTGACGTAACTGGTCATGCAGTAGTGATGTAACTGGTCATGCAGTAGTGACGCAACTGGTCATGCAGTAGTGATGTAAGTGGTCATGCAGTAGTGACGCAACTGGTCATGCAGTAGTGATGTAACTGGTCATGCAGTAGTGACGTAACTGGAGTTTACTCCCCCATCATCCCGCCCTTGTATGTCATGGGATAGACATCAAAGATGCCGCCCCGGGTGACACCAACCCTAGCAACGCCACTGATGTACATGCATGTGTAGTGTGACCTAAGTATACACACACACACACACACACACACAACACACACACACACACACACACACACACACACAGACACACACAACACTCACACACACACACATATATATAAAAATTATATATATAAAATAAATAATATAAATAAAATATAATAAAATACACACAATACATACAAACACAGTGTCCCCACTTAAACAGCAGGTTAATTTTGGGTTAAGCTATATAAAACGAAAATCACTGAAAAGTTAAAACAGAATTTTTTTTATACTTTCAAATGTGTATAAAAGCCTGATAAAATGTTTACACTATCATATGTATTAAGTTGGCAACAGAGTATAGGCTAGGTGGCCAAAGACTGCAAACCTCACTCAAGGAGAAAGATCTTGGGGTGAGTATAACACCGAGCATGTCTCCGGAAGCACACATCAATCAGATAACTGCTGCAGCATATGGGCGCCTGGCAAACCTGAGAACAGCATTCCGATACCTTAGTAAGGAATCGTTCAAGACACTGTACACCGTGTATGTCAGGCCCATACTGGAGTATGCAGCACCTGTTTGGAACCCGCACTTGATAAAGCACGTCAAGAAACTAGAGAAAGTACAAAGGTTTGCGACAAGGTTAGTTCCAGAGCTAAGGGGAATGTCCTATGAAGAAAGATTAAGGGAAATCGGCCTGACGACACTGGAGGACAGGAGGGTCAGGGGAGACATGATAACGACATATAAAATACTGCGTGGAATAGACAAGGTGGACAAAGACAGGATGTTCCAGGGAGGGGACACAGAAACAGGAGGCCACAATTGGAAGTTGAAGACACAAATGAGTCAGAGAGATATTAGGAAGTATTTCTTCAGTCCTAGAGTTGTAAGGCAGTGGAATAGCCTAGAAAATGACGTAGTGGAGGCAGGAACCATACACAGTTTTAAGACGAGGTTTGATAAAGCTCATGGAGCGGGGAGAGAGAGGGCCCAGTAGCAACCGGTGAAGAGGCGGGGCCAGGAGCAAGACTCGACCCCTGCAACCACAAATAGGTGAGTACAAATAGGTGAGTACACACACACACACACACACACACATACACACACACACAATATATATATATGTCGTGCCGAATATGTAAAACTGGTCAATTAGCAAGAACTCATTTAAAATTAAGTCCTTTCTAAAATTTTCTCTTATACGTTTAAAGATATATTTTTTTCATTATTGTTAATGTAAAAAAACTTAATTTTGCACTAAAAGAATCTTAGAAAACTTACCTAACCTTATTATAACAAGTGCAATTTATTTTAGCCTAACCCAACTAAATATATTTTAGATTTGTTTACAATAATTTAATACTAAACAAACACAGTGAAATATATTTTTTTCGTTAGGTTCAGAATGATTTTGGCGATATTATTGCATACACAAATTTTCACTTGTCCTATATAGCAAGATGAGCGTTGCTATTTAAGCCAAGATCGTAAGTTCTGCCTATTCGGCACGACATTTAAATTATATATATATAATATATATATATATATAATATATATATATATAAATATATATATATATATATTAAACATATATATATTAATGGATATATATATATTGTGTGTGTGTGTGTGAGTGTGTATAAAGATTTTCAGGAAAATCGGTTAGCTAGGCTTGGTGGGAGTCTGTGCACTTTTGGAACGGTGTCCCTTAGCTTGATTGCTAGCGCATTCAGCTCACACACTGAGGTCCGGAGTTCGAATCTCCGGTATGGCTGGAAAACATTAGGGATGTGTTTCCATGAGACGCCTTCTGTCCTTATTCACCCATTAGTATAAAATGGGTACCTAGGTGTTAGTCGACTGGTGTGGGTCGCATCCTGGGACAAAACTGACCTAATTTCCCCGAAATCCTCAGTATAACAAGCGTCTTTATATACAGTAGTATGTCACTGATGGCAGCTAGGTATGTATACCTTGTACATGTACTTGTAGAAATAAAGATATTATTATTATTACTATTATAGTTAGGGAGCGAGTGATCGTGAACTTGTTTTCTTCTTTGAGTCACTGCGTTTTTTTTTTTTTTGAGGGGGGGGGGAATAAGACCAAAACAACAGATCATCAAACTACAGAATGTGAATGACCATCTACTTTTCTTTTCAACATTCACATGATGTATGTGCTGTATTGGTCTGACCTGGGCACACCTGGCAGCACTGGTCAGGAGGCGTGTAAGCATCCTCACACTCGACTTTGTGACACACTACATCCTGGCAGATGATGTTTCCTCTGGTGCACATACACATGGAACACACATTCGCAGGAGACTGCCAGCTGCTTCCATCCTCGAACACACGCTTGTCTGTGGGTGCAACCATTAATAATATTATTCAAGATATAAATGCAAATGTTCTAAAAGTTAGATTGAATATGAAGCAATGTTCCAGGATTGTACCAGATATTAACTTACATGAATTTTCCCTAATACCATTAATAAATGTCAATTTCAACAGAGCTGATAATTGATTTAGTGAGTATTTTAAACCAGCGAAATTCAGACTTTATTTCTTTTTTTCTTTTTGATGATCAGGCTAATCTACAAATATTCACAATGTTTTTTTTTTAATCAATAACGTCTCATATAATGTCTCTTACCTTCATCGATACATTTGTTGTTAATGGGCGGTGGATCAGCTGGTTGTAATACACAGTTTCCATAGAAACATTCATCACTATCTCTGTCAGGAATAATAACTTCATGATGATCTGAACCCAAGAGGCAGTTGGAAGGAATGGAGACACCCTGCACAAGGCCACTGAGAGAAGGCTGTTGAGCAGAGTTGTTTTCATGAGGCAGCAAGACTAGGTCTAAGTAGGACACTCCAGCTCCCAGGCGGGAGAGGGACAATCGACTCAGTTGGGTTGAATGAGCAAAAAGTTCACGACCTTCAACCTGTGTCTCAAGGTCCACCTGTGTATTTTCGTGCCGTGGGTCCCACGACTCGTCATTTTCACGAAGAATTAGGTTCCAGAAAGGCTCGACAGCCCCACCTGGAGGCTGTCCGGCAACCATCACATCATAGTGAGTGACACAAGCAGAGTCTACTGCCACCCACACAGTTGCTGCCATAGGCACTTCAGGAGATGATAACAGAACAGGCTGTGGCGATCGTAAAGCTTCTGTTACTGCTAACGGGTTCAACATCCCACGAAGTTCTTCATCATTCTCCCCAGCACTCACTACAATCTCCAATTTCCCACGTAGCAGGGCATCAAGATCACTATACGTGGGTTTGTCATAGGAACCATTAGCCCAACTGTCACGATAGAATGGAGTTAGGTTGTCAACAATCCGATCTCTTCGTCGATTCTTGGTCTCCAGGGTAAGAGAAGCAACATCAAAACCTTTTACAAACACCTGATACTGGAAAGTACCATTATTGGAAAGTGTTAGAAGAGCCCAACCGGCGCCATGAGGTGATGACACATATGTCCTTACTGAAGCTTCATCATTCTCAGCGTCTGGCACTGGTATACTTAGTACAGCAGAGAAGACATTACAGGTGGCCCGGGGAGTGATCGTGCCCTCTAGGGCCAGCTCTGGAGCAGCCTTACTCCACACTTTCATGGCCACCTGGCCACGGGTCAGTCGGATGAGACTTCTGTCTCCTAGAGTAGTCATTATTTCGGCCCGATTCACATCCTTTAATAAAAAGAATGAGTATCAAAATGGTATACAATACCGACAGGTTGGTAGGTAAGACACATAGGCAACTTTATTCCGAAACGTTTCGCCTACACAGTAGGCTTCTTCAGTCGAGTACAGAAAGTAGGCAGGAACAGTAGAGATGTGAAGACGATGTAATCAGTCCATCACCTTGAAGTCGTAGATTTGAGGTTGTCAGTCCCTCAGCCTGGAGAATTTTCCAGGCTGAGGGACTGACAACCTCAAATCTACGACTTCAAGAGTGATGGACTGATTACATCGTCTTCACATCTCTACTGCTCTTGCGTACTTTCTCGAATGAAGAAGCCTACTGTATAGGCGAAACGTTTCGGAATAAAGTTGCCTAAATACTGCCATGTGTCTTACCTACCAATAAAAAGAATAGATTTGTTACAGGAAATGTATTTCTCAACGTAGTTTAGAAAAAACACATGAGCAAACACTAGGACATATTTACTAGAAAACGTTTCGGTCATGGGACTTTGATCACTTCCTAACATACAGAGGTTACGAAGACAATATATATATATATATAAGCGAAGAGTGAGGTGTGAGTGACGCATGGTGACCTGAAGAATGCCATACTGGGATGAGAACGGATAGACAATGGGATCATGTGACTCCTGTGTTGTTAGGTAGGTGATGCTTTGCCTGGTTGAGTATCATGTATGCTAATGTTTTAGAAATTCTGTAGTTTCCAGTATTACGTTCTATGGTGTCGGTGACGGAGAGGCTTCCAAACATGATCGGCGTCTAAGGTCTTGTTCGGTGAGGACGAGTCGTGTCTCATCCTAGTTCATCAGATGTTCCATGGAGTCCCGGTGGAGGACACAGGCGTACCTTAAGTCGTGTCTGTTGCTGGCATTTCTATGTTCGTTCAGGCGGACCGAAAGATCTCTCCCTGTTTCCCCTACATATTTCTTGGGACAGTATCCACAGGGGATGGTGCAGACACCAGTTGTGGACGTTAAAAGTGTGGGGCTGCGTTTCGTAGTGAAGTCTTTGATAGATGATGTGTTTAAGGTGGAAAGATTTGTGTTACTTTTGTCAAGTACCTGGCAAATATTGGTAGCAAGATCACCGCACGGGAGTCCTGTGAACTGCTTATAAGGCTTTTCCACGGGGGATTTGTTGAGGATAGCTTGTACCTTGAGTCTGCAATCCCGGATGAAGAAAGATGGAAACTGAAGATGTGTAAAGGCTTGTGTTATATAGATACATTTCTCAAGAAAACAAGGCCTGGAGATGAGAAGAGCTCTCAGGTAGAAGCCAATAAGGACACCTCTTTTAGTGCAGGTGTCTTGGTGTGAATAGAAGTGTATAACATAGTGCCTAATTTATCAACTTGTCGGTTCTCTAAACCATTTATCTACAAGATCAATACTGTTGAGACATTACTAAAGTTTACCCTTGAACTCGAAATAAATGGCAAACTTCCTTTCCTTGACGTCCTCCTGTGCAGGTCTCCCGACAGTGACAAACTTCTCTTCAAAATGTACATAAAACCTACCAACAAGGACTATGTTATACACTTCTATTCACACCAAGACACCTGCACTAAAAGAGATGTCCTTATTGGCTTCTACCTGAGAGCTCTTCGCATCTCCAGATCTTGTTTTCTTGAGAAATGTATCTACACAACACAAGCCTTTACACGTCTTCAGTTTCCATCTTTCTTCATCCGGGATTGCAGACGCAAGGTACAAGCTATCCTCAACAAATCTCCCATGGAATAGCCTTATAAGCAATTCACAGGACTCCCGTGCGGTGATCTTGCTACCAATATTTGCCAGGTACTTGATAAAAGTAACATAAATCTTTCCACCATAAACACATCATCTATCAAAGACTTCACTACGAAACGCAGCCCCACACTTCTAACGTCCCTACGGGTGTCTACACCATCCCCTGTGGATACTGTCCCAAGAAATATGTAGGGGAAACAGGGAGAGATCTTTCGGTTCACCTAAACGAACATAGAAATGTACGCTTGTGTCCTCCACAGGAGCTCCATGGGACATCTGATGAACTAGGATGAGACGATTCGTCCTCACCGAACAAGACCTTAGACGCCGATCATGTTTGGAAGCCTCGCCGTCACCGACACCATAGAACGTAATACTGGAAACTACAGAATTTCTAAAACATTAGCATACATGATACTCAACCAAGCAAAGCATACCTACCTAACAACACAGGAGTCACATGATCCCATTGTCTGTCCGTCCTCATCCCAGTATGGCATTCTTTAGGTCACCATGCGTCATCATTCACACCTCACTCCTCGTTTATACATATATAATATATATATATATATATATATATATATATATATATATATATATATATATATATATATTATATATATATATATATAATATATATATATATTTTTCAACAAGTCGGCCGTCTCCCACCGAGGCAGGGTGACCCAAGAAAGAAAGAAAATCCCCAAAAAAGAAAATACTTTCATCATCATTCAACACTTTCACCACACTCACACATTATCACTGCTTTTGCAGAGGTGCTCAGGATACAACAGTTTAGAAGCATATACGTATAAAGATACACAACATATCCCTCCAAACTGCCAATATCCCAAACCCCCCTTTTAAAGTGCAGGCATTGTACTTCCCATTTCCAGGACTCAAGTCCGACTATATGAAAATAACCGGTTTCCCTGAATCCCTTCACTAAATATTACCCTGCTCACACTCCAACAGATCGTCAGGTCCCAAGTATCATTCGTCTCCATTCACTCCTATCTAACACGTTCATGCACGCTTGCTGGAAGTCCAAGCCCCTCGCCCACAAAACCTCTTTTACCCCCTCTTTCCAACCCTTTCGAGGACGACCCCTACCCCTCCTTCCTTCCCCTATAGATTTATATGCTTTCCATGTCATTCTACTTTGATCCATTCTCTCTAAATGACCAAACCACCTCAACAACCCCTCTTCCGCCCTCTGACTAATACTTTTATTAACTCCACATCTTCTCCTAACTTCCACACTCCGAATTTTCTGCATAATATTTACACCACACATTGCCCTTAGACAGGACATCTCCACTGCCTCCAACCGTCTCCTCGCTGCTGCATTTACCACCCAAGCTTCACATCCATATAAGAGTGTTGGTACTACTATACTTTCATACATTCCCTTCTTTGCCTCCATAGATAACGTTTTTTGACTCCACATATACCTCAATGCACCACTCACATTTTTCCCTCATCAATTCTATGATTAACCTCATCCTTCATAAATCCATCCGCCGACACGTCAACTCCCAAGCATCTGAAAACATTCACTTCTTCCATACTCCTCCTCCCCAATTTGATATCCAATTTTTCTTTATCTAAATCATTTGATACCCTCATCACCTTACTCTTTTCTATGTTCACTTTCAACTTTCTACCTTTACACACATTCTCAAACTCATCCACTAACCTTTGCAATTTTTCTTTAGAATCTCCCATAAGCACAGTATCATCAGCAAAAAGTAACTGTGTCAATTCCCATTTTGAATTTGATTCCCCATAATTTAATCCCATCCCTCTCCCGAACACCCTAGCATTTACTTCTTTTACAACCCCATCTATAAATATATTAAACAACCATGGTGACATTACACATCCCTGTCTAAGACCTACTTTTACCGGGAAGTATTCTCCCTCTCTTCTACACACTCTAACCTGAGCCTCACTATCCTCATAAAAGCTCTTTACAGCATTTAGTAACTTACCACCTATTCCACATACTTGCAACATCTGCCACATTGCTCCTCTATCCACTCTATCATATGCCTTTTCTAAATGCATAAATGCAATAAAAACTTCCCTACCTTTATCTAAATACTGTTCACATATATGCTTAAATGTAAACACTTGATCTACACATCCCCTACCCACTCTGAAGCCTCCTTGCTATCCGCAATCCTACATTCTGTCTTACCTCTAATTCTTTCAATTATAACCCTACCGTATACTTTTCCTGGTATACTCAGTAAACTTATTCCTCTATAATTTTTACAATCTCTTTTGTCCCCTTTCTCTTTATATAAAGGGACTATACATGCTCTCCGCCAATCCCTAGGTACCTTCCCCTCTTTCATACATTTATATATATATAATGTCTTCGTAACCTCTGTATGTCAGGAAGCGATCAAAGTCTCAGGACCAAAAAGTTTTCTAATAAATATGTCCTAGCGTTTGCTTACGTTTGTCTAAACCAACTTGTTGTAACTATTACCAAGGTTTATACCATTTATCATCGTGCTTTTCTTGATTCCCACTACCTTAAGAAAATTAAATGCTTGTATATATATTTTAATTTAAAATGCTGTTCCAGGAAGTACAGTGAAGTACTGCGGCAAATTATGAAAATACTGAAAAAAATCAGTTAAACAGATCTGATAGTCATGAAACACTGAACATTCGATGCCAAAACGAGAGCTAGACTAATGTTCTGTTACAATATAAGATCAATAAAGCAGGCAGAGTCTTACTCACCGAGAAGACCTTGGGCAGGACAACAGAGTCTGTTACTGGGTCGAGGCCACGTTCCGGCAGCAGTTCCACTACAAGTGTGGCATTGTGAGTTTCCCTTTCAGCGAATATCCCATTAAAGACGAGACTTACATGCAGAGAGTCTGTCTTACGGTCCACAGAGATGATTGCAGTGCCACCTCCTCCAAGGGTCTGGTTAGCAGTAGATACAGGAACGAGGAGAGCAGAGAACACCTCGGTGTCCACCCCTACATAACGTGCTAACTGCCCGCTGATTGTATCTTCTTGGGAGTCATCAGGAGGGGATATTGCAACCCACATCTTTTCGTCTAACAGCATTGCTCTGAAGGTGAAAGAGCATCTTATGTTTGGTGTGGGTGAAGTGCAATAATACTCAGCAGTCAAGAGGAAAGGCTAGAAAAAACGGCATGAAAATCATTATTTACGTTATGTAAACGTGTCTTAGATACCGATAACAGTCAGGTTCAGAAAGGTATTCCTTGCTTCTCACAAAAAGAAAAAAATGCCGCTGAAGGAGTAAGTAATATAAATCACTAATCATGATGGCACAGAGAAAATTATCTAAATAAAGTATTGATATAATACCTGACAAAGAACCCGCAAGACAAGCTCTGCTCTGATGCAGATAATTCAACACTATTTACATGAAGGATTACAGGCATTTGGATTAAAATTACTTAATTATATTTTTAAAAGCAAAATAAATATTGTTCATATATACTTTTGCTACATATGCAGGTTGATAATTTCTAATATTTCTGATAAGTGAAGTTAATTCAAAAGCGAGCGTACAGTAACTTAATATATTGTGGAATTTCTTCCCTTCGATTAATACTCATAAATTCACAAATGGGATTTATTATATTATTATTTGACCAAATATTCAACAATGAAAATACTGTGTTATCATATCTCACAAGAAATATATATATTTACTTTAATGGAGTACTTGTCGGAATAACAGTAATCAGAAAGTAATATAGATAAAAGTAGTGGACTATGTGGTGTGTTTATACAGAATTATGGGTTAATTAAATATTTAATAAAGTGAATAACAAGATATTTAAGTTTGTAGCATATACTGCTCGTCACTATGTGACAGAAGCCACTCGTTATGACTCGTCCAGAATGGTCAGGTCACTTAACCTTTCTTAACCATCTCTTCCAGTCTACTTACCTTTTTCACAACTCTATCCTACCCCAGTCTTCTCCTTCATTCTTGCCACCTCTCTGACGGTCCAAGGAAAATAGATAATTTGATCCCAGGAGACCTCTCCAGCAAGAACAGCCATTCAGAAAGAATGAAAGTACATGGTTGCAACATTATTAAAAATTATACAGCTCTATCTTAACCAGTTAATGGGCACTTATCAGTCCTTGGCGCTTTGGGTATGATCCTGAATCAGTCTTCCTCTGATGGCTCAATTCTTCTTGTGAAGCACTTGATTTATGCTGACTGTTATTACCACACTGCTATCCAGTGTCTGGTGAGTCATGATGTATACTGAACCAGTCTTCCTCAGTTTCAATCACCCAGACATTGCACCAATCGATACATTATTAAGTAATACCGCTTATACTAAAACACTGAATACCTACATTTATTAGGAGTTAGACAATATAACAAATAGTGGTCTTAGTACCACACAGCTATACACTGTCTCATGGTATACATGGGATTTAGTCTGGACAGACATGCACGGTATAGCAAATGGACTGTTTAAGTAACGTACACACACAAAGTCAGTCTCACGTCTTTACAAAGCTTGTCGGTTTAAAAACACTGATTCGCAGCACAGTATTGTGTCGTCCCGTTGACCGATTTCGCCAACAGTCTTCTTGGCGCCTCGGAACGTGTGTATATTATTGTGTATTATCCCTCTAGTCTAACTCTCTCCCTAGTCACGTACGTGGCTTTGATATCAGGAAACTTCTTATTTAACCAAGCTCACAATAACTAAACCACGTACATGGAAGCAAGTGGCATTCTATGTTAGCAGAATGTAGTTCAAAACTATATAGAAAAATTTTGCCTGTTATTATTTTATTAAAAAATAATAAATATTATAAATTTCAAGACGACACGGAGTTCGTGGCTCTCATTTATTAATGTGTAATTTCTGTCTTCCCAGAGGAGAGCTTGTGCATCTCAGACCTCAACATCAGTCTCCATATTAACTTGAGTTTTACCTAGTTACCAACCAGTCCAGCCTCGTGCTCATCAACTTTTGCTAGGACAGACTCTCACGTTTACTACATAAATGGTATTATTTACATAAGTTTAACACATGTAACTGAGAAGATTCTATACACCATTGGCAGTATTAAACATAAATTAATTTTGTACTCCATGCAATTCACAGTGGTTCTCCGCATACCAAAATTTAATATTAATTTCTGGCATCTTCAGGTGGTATGTGCTGTCTCAGCTATCACCGTCCAACCTCTATTTGATCTACGACATTGTGGGTGCTGGAGTTCTGAACACCTTGCTAAATTTTATCAGTCATCTGCAGACTTCACCACTCGTGTCATTCTAATTCAGTAGACGATTTAGATATACAAATAATAATAATCTTTATTTCTACAAGTACATGTACAAAGGTACACAGACCTAGCTGACATCAATGACATACTATTATATAGAAAGCCGTATATCATGCAGAGCATTTCGGGCAAATTAGGTTAATTTTAAAACAGGATGCGACCCACACCATTTGACTAACACCCAGGTACCCATTTTACTAATGGGCGAACAAGGATATCAGGTGTCTTATGGAAGCACGTCCTAATGTTTTCCAGCCGTACCTGTTTAAGGTTCGTACAGCCTGTACCCGCTCATGTCCCGTATTGCTTAAAGATTGAAATATCAGCCTTGTGATGGAGAAAGAGGCAGTGTTGTAGGGCCAGACCGTGAAACTTCACAGTAAAAGTGTTCTTCCCAGGATATCATAAGGCCGCATGGCTATCCGGCTTTCACCCCATACGGAAACCTGTATTTGTTTTACACGATGGTAGGATTCCTGGTGTCTTTTTCTCTCTCTGATAAACCTCAAGATAACAAGTATATCTTGCTACTTTGACTTACACTTAGGTCACACTACATATGCATGTACAAGTTTATGTATACACACTCTGCCGAGTTTTCTTTAATTTTTCTTAACAGATCTTGTTCTTGTTATTTCCTTTCATATCCATGGGGAAGTGGGATAAAAAACTTTCCTCTATAAGCCATGTGTGTTGTAAAAGTCAACTAAAATGTCAGGAGCAATGGGCTAGCAACCTCTTCTATCACAGTGCTTACTAAAAAATAAAAACAAAACCTTTAAGTTGGGATGTTTGAATGTGAATTGATGTAGTGCGGATGACAAGAAATAGATGACTGTGGATGTTATGAATGAAAAGAAGCTGGATGTCCTGGCTCTAAGTGAAACAAAGCTTAAGGGAGTGGGAGAGTTTCAGTGGGGAGAAAAAGCTGAGATTATGTCAAGGGTTTTTAATAGAGTTAGAACTAAAGAAGGAGTAGCAATAATGTTGAAGGATCAGTTACGGCAGGAAAAGAGGGGAATATCAGTATATAAATTCAAGGATTATATGGAGTAAAATGAGGGTTAGATGTAAAATGTTGAGAGAGTATTTGTAGTGGGGGACCTCAATGCTAAAGTGGGTTAAACAGTTGTGGAGGGAGTTCAGGGTGCCAGAGGTCAATGAAAATGCGGATCCTATAATTGAACTATGTATAGAAAGAGGTTTGGTAATAAGTAATACATATTTTAAGAAAAAGAGAATAAGTATACAAGATATGATATAGCATATAATGAAAGTCGTTTGTTAGATAATGTTCTGGTGGATAAAAGGTTGATCGGTAGGCTTCGGGATGTACATGTTTATAGAGGGGCAACATATACTATATCAGATCATTATTTAGTTGTAGCTACAGTTAGAATAAGAGGTAAATGGGACAAAAGGAAAGTGGCAACAGCAAGTAAGAGAGAGGTGAAAGTTTATAAACAAACAGAAGAGGAAGTTGGGGTGAAACATAAGCAACTATTGGGAAAAAGTTAGGCTAGTAAAAGTATAGGTAGTGCGGGGGGTTGAAGAGGGGTGGGATAGTTTTAAAAATGCAGTGTTAGAATGCAGGGCAGAAGTCTGTGGATATAGAAGGGTGGGTACAGGAGGAAAGAGAAGTGATTGGTGGAATGATGAGGAAAAGGGTGTGATAAGAAAGAAAAAAAGTTCGCTTATGAGAGGTTTTTTTATAAAGCAGAAGTAATATAAGTAGGGTGAAGTATTTCGAGAGTAAAAAAAAGAAGTAAACAGAGTGGTGAGGGAGTGTAAAAGGAAAACAAATGAAAGAGTGGGCGAGGTACTGTCAACAAATTTTGCTGAGAATGAGAAAATGTTTTGGAGTAACATAAATAGGTTAAGAAAGCCTAAGGAACAAATGGATTTAACAGTTAAAAACAGAATAGGGGATTTAGTAGAGAACGAGTTGGAGATATTGGGAAGATGGCAGGAATATTTTGAGGAACTGTTAAATGTTGATGAAGGGGGAGGGGGGCGAGAGTAGTAAATTTACGTACTGGCCAAGGAGCCGGATACAAGTGTGGGGTAGTCTGGCAGGGAGCGTGCATAGTTCCTTTATATAAAGGGAAGGGGGGCAAAAGGGGGTGTACCTGGTAAAGTGTATGGTAGGGTTATTACTGAAAGAATTAACACTGATACAGAGAGCAGAATCACATATGAACAATGAAACTTTTGAATGGGTAGGGGATGTGTAGACTGTGTTTACATCGAAGCATATAAGTGAATAATATTTACATAAAGATAAGGAAGTTTTTGTTGCTTTTATGGATTTAGTAAAGGCATATGATAGGGTGGATAGGGAAGCAATGTGGCAAATGTTGCAAGTGTATGGAATAGGTAGTAAGGTACTAAATGATGTAAAGAGTTTTTATGAAGATAGAGAGGCTCAGGTTAAGGTGTGTAGGAGAGAGGGAGATTACTTCCCGGTAAAAGTAATACATCTTAGTGTAATTACAAGTGACAGTCTGGTGCTATTTTTTAATTTGTATTTTTATATTATTAGTTTATACCTAGTTGTACTTTAGCTCATTCTAGCACAACACAGACATCAACTTCATTATGTTTATTAGTGACTATACTATATATGACCAAAGTGCTTTAGCTACATACTTGTCCAAACTTCCCACTACTACAGATATCAGTACTAGAACTCAACACACAATTCAGGATATAAATAACCACAATTTAAACCTAGAAGATCAATGATCACGTCGACCCTGATCTAAACCTCCATAA